GGGCTTGAGAAGCAGGATACACGAGATAGAAAGAAAGAAAGAGAAAAGTAGAAAGGAAATAGAGATAATGACGATAATGAAAGGACTTGAATCTAAGTTTTCTAAGACGTCAAAGAAGTAAAATTAAATGACTTTTTTAAAAATCAAACCTTGATCGTAGAAAATGAAAATTGCCATAAATACCGAAGACAAAAAAAAAAGTAAGAAAAAAAGTAAACAGAATAAGAAGAACAAGACAAAGAGAAACAATGATAATAATAAGTCCAAAAAAAGGAAAAAATATATATATCTCCATTACGTTCCAAAGAAATTAATTCCCGAGCGTAACAATCACACGAAATAACCTTCTATTGAGAGTGTTATATAGAGACAAGAAAGAGAGAGACGAGGAAGGAGGTGGCAGAATTGTTGCAAAGGATGTTGAAGAAAAAAAAAAAAGGATACGGAGACAGTGAAAAGGAAGGATAAATAATCCTCGGAGCTGGAGGATATACAACGAAAATGAGAGACAGAAGGAGGAAGATTAAGATTTATTCTCATTTACTTCCCGCTAGACTGAGAGGTACGAAGGGAGAACGAAAGGGAGGAAGACTGAGGGAAAGATATTGTCTTATTTAGTACCCATTTTCTTTTTTTTATTTGCTTTGTATAATGTGTAATTTTTTGTCCCTCTCTCTCTCGCTGTTGAACTTTCTCTTTTTTTTCTTTTTTTTTTTTCCTTTCTCTCTTTGTCTCCTGCTCTGTAGGTGTGTGTTTCCTTCCCTCTCTTTACCCCTCCCTTCCTCCCTCTCATACTCTTTCTCTCTTCTCTCTGTCTCTGTCTGTCTGTCTGTCTGTCTGTCTGTCTGTCTCTCTCTCTCCTTCTCTTTCTCTTTCTCTCCCTCCCCTCCTTCCCTCTCCCCAAATCCTCCACCATCTCTCTCTTCCCATTCCCGTCTTTCTCCCTCTCTTTCTTCCTCCTCTCGCTCCCTCTCCCTCTCCCTCCTCCTCCCCCCCTCCTTCATCACTCTCCATCATCTCCTTCCTTCGGCACACAATCACGTCCAGAAACCTCTCTTTTCTCTCTCCTTCTGCGGTGTGGGGGGGGGGGGCACAGATGAAGACGCGGAGAAGAGGAGGAGGAGGAGGAGGACTAGACTGGAGGGGGTAAGGGGGGAGGGAGGAGGAGGGGAGGGAGGGAGAGGAAGGAAGAGGGAGATGGAGAGGGAGGGAGGGAGGGAGGGAAGGAGGGGGGGAAGGGGGAGGGAGGGAGAGGGAGGGAAGGAGGAAGGGAGGAAGGATGTGGGGGTGGAGTGAGGTAGGGAGGGAGGGAGGGAGGGAGAGAGAAGTAGGAGGGGAGGGAGGATGAGGAGGGGGAGGGAGGAAGGGAGGGAGGGAGGGGAAGAAACACTCGAGTAACAATTCACTTGCGAGAATCAGTGGATTTTTTTTTATTAATTTTATTATTATTATTATTATTTTTTTGCTTTTGCTTCCGGCGTAAAGGAGGGTGGAGGAAGGAGGAAGAAACGCGGGAAAGAAGAGGAGGATTAAAAGAAGGAGGAGGAGGAGGAGGAGTTGTAAATGGAGGAAGAGTTAGACGAAGAAGAAGAGGAGGATGGAGAGGATTGGGAAAAGGAAGAAAATGATGATGGTGAGGAGGAGAAGTAGGAGGAAGAGGAAAAGGAGGAAGAGGAGTAGTAGGAGGAAGAAAAACAAGAAGAAGATGGTGATAATGATGAGAAAAACGCGGAGGAGGAGGAGGAGGAGAAGGAGAAAGAAAGGAGAAAGAAGAGGAGGTTGAATAGGATAAGGAATTTGATGATGATGATAACGATAATGAAAGCGATGATGATGGTGATGACCGTGCAGAAGGTATGAGGATTAAAACACATTAACAAAGCCAAGGATGATGTTGAGGCAATACAGACAGCTGAACAGTAGGGACGCAGATTCTGTTGTGAATCTGCACCCCTTTCAAGGAGGCCAGGCGTGAGAGATGAGTCCGGAGCTAAAGCATACTAAACTGAGATATTTTGAGACACCTGTGACGATGGGTGTAGGTATAAGACGTGCTAGTCAAGACGAGGTGAGACATATATGTGCCAGCTGCTCCGGGAAACGTGTTCAGACATAAATCAATTGTGAGAAAGGTAAAAGCGACAAAGAAAAAGAAAAAGAAAGAAAAAAAAACAAGAATTTGCTTCGTGTAATTGCGTCTATAATTGGCTACTTTTTAATTAATAAGAACAATGTTCTTTCTTACTTCAATCGCAGTATTATTGGAGAAAGACACTGTCACTTTATAGCTGAAAAGTAAGCGATTTTAAACATTAGCTTCAGGGACCAAACGCAAAAAAAGGACAAAGAATTTAGACTCAAGATATTCGCAAAGACAAAGTAAAGTAGGCAAAGTAGGAAGCACAGGCAGTGTTATGACAGATAATGTCCGTTGAGACGTAAATTTCAGTTCTAAGACTCAAAAACTCAAAAGACAGGAGGTTGTAATGGGAAAGCGAGGTAATGAACCGCATACATCAGGTAGTGGAGTAGGTGGTGCCCAGAACAGACAGTCTTGAAGCTTGGCTACGGTACGAAATCGAGCAGGACTACGCGTGGTATAAAACCTCACGTAGAACTATATACAGAAAACCTTTTGATAGAAACGACAGCGAAAAATTTAGTCAGAGAAGAGTCTCGAACAAATGAATCGAAGTGAAGCTTGAACAATCGGAAAATATCATAGTGACACGTCCTAAGGGCATGCAATTCAAACCAAAGCCCTAAAATCCTTCGAAAATAGGGTACTAGGATACTGAAATCTAATAATCAAATCGAATAGAGGTGTAGGTTCATATTAGAGAAAGGGAGGGAGAGAGAGAAACATGAGGAGAAGTAAACAACAGCTAAGTGTAACTTGTATATAAGATACTGTTCTTAGGAGTGAGTGTGCTGGGGTTGTAGGAGGAGGAAGAAGAATAAGAGAGACAATAGGGAGACGAGGAGAGAAAGAAGAAAAGAGAAAAAGAAAGAATAAAGATTATAAGCAGGCCAAGCGGTGGGAAAACATTATAATTGAAAGCGAGAATCAAACGCAGAGAAATATATTGTATATTGAAAAAAAGTCATATTGTTTATAAAGTAAATTATTTGATAAAGGCATTTTACTTACAAAAAGATAACACACATAATACACCCATAGAAAGAAAGAAATACATATCTTAATTTTCTAAATAGGAGAAGGAGAGAAGGAGGAAGAGGAAAGGGAAGGAAGAAAAAGAGAGATTAAATAAAAGAAGTTGAATATTAAGAACATGATGAAGCGCAGGCATAACAACAACAACAACAACAACAACATCAACAACAACAACAGCAACAAGGATAATAATAATAATAATAATAATAATAATAATAAAAATAATAATGATAATAATAATGATAATAAAAATGATATAATAATATTTTTTTCTTTCTTTTTTTTTTGCATTTCCCTGTGTCTCCTCCTCATTACAACTTTCTCGGTGCGTCTTCACAAACCCCTCGTATTTTTGTCTCTCATTCGCGTGATTAGCGTCTCCTGCTCTTCTTCCTCCTCCTCCTCGTCCTCTTCCTCTTCCTCCTCATCCAGTCATCAACTCGGCTCGTGTTATTTTCTCGTTAGTATAATTAATCCCTCATTTCGCTGTTCATAAGTCTTTTAATTACCCCCGTTTTCTATGCACTTCTTTTCTCACATTGGGACCGTGATGGCGCTTCCCGTTTTCTATTTTTTATTAGAGATGGCGGTGATCGTTGACTATAACTATTTTCTCTCTCTCTTTTTTTTTAAATCTATGTGTCTTTGTATCTGTCATTGTGTCTATCTTTGTCTCTGTCTGATTCTCTCTCTCTCTCTCTCTCTCTCTCTCTCTCTCTCCTCTCTCTCTCTCTCTCTCTCTCTCTCTCTCTCTCTCTCTCTCTCTCTCTTTCTCTCTCTCTCTTTCTCTCTCTCTCTTCTCTCTCTCTCTCTCTCTCTCTCTCTCTCTCTCTCTCTCTCTCTCTCTCTCTCTCTCTCTCTCTCTCTCTTTCTCTCTCTCTCTTTCTTTCTCTCTCTCTCTCTCTCTCTCTCTCTCTCTCTCTCTCTCTCTCTCTCTCTCTCTCTCTCTCTCTCTTTTATTGATGTTACTATTGATGTTATCATCATTATTTTTATTATTGTTCTTAACACCATCATTAGTATCACAATCATCATTATTATTATCATTATCGTCATTCCTGCTTATTTGTCCAGCTGCAAAATAACGCCATTTTTTTCTCCCCTTTCCCTACCTTTCCTCCCTTCCCCCCTTCCTGCCCTCCCCTTTTTCCCTTCCTCATCCCTCTTCCCCTCCACTTCCTCCCCTCATCCTCCCCTTCCTCTCTCCCCTTCTTCCCTTCCTCTTCCCCTCTTCCCCTCATCCCCTCATCCTCCCCTTCCTCACCCTCTCCCTCTCCCCTTCCTTACCCTCCTACCCTCCCTTTTCTCTCCCCCTTCCTCCTCATCCTCCCCTTCCTCCCCCTTCCCCTCTCTTCCTCTTCCTCCCCTTCCTCATCCCCTTCCCTCTCCCCTTTCTTACCCCCTCCCCTCTCTTTCTCTCCACCTTCCCCCTTCCTCCCCTCACCCCCCTTCCTCTCTCCACTTCCCCTTCCTCCCCCTTCCCCTTTCCCCTTCCTCACCCCCTTCCCTCTCCCCTTCCTCACCCCCTTCCCTCTCCCCTTCCTTACTCCCCTCCCCTCCCTTTCTCTCCCCCTCCCCCCTCATCCTTCCCTTCTTCTCTCCACTTCCCCCTCTCCCCCTCTCCCCCTTCCTCCTCATCCTCCTCTTCCTCACCCCTTCCCCCTCTCCCCCTCTCCCCCTTCCCCCTCATCCTCACCTTCCTCTCTCCCTTTTCCCCTTCCCCCCTTCCCCTCTCTCCCCCTTCCTCCCCTTCCTCACCCCCCCCCCCCCCTCTCCCCCTTCCTTACCTCCTCCTTCTTCCCCCCCCCCCCCCCCCCCCCATCAGAGACAAGGTCCTCCACCCCTGTAGTTCCTGCCGCGTCCCTTGGTACTGCAGCCGTGACTGTGAGCGCCTTGCCTCCGACCTCCACGCCCACGAGTGCCCTTACCTCAAGCGTATCTCCCCGAAGGTGCCTCCGGACTTCGTCAGGTTGATGGCCCGGATCATCTTCAGGTTAAAGGTAGGTGGGCGTCCTCGGTGTAGATTTTTTTTATTTTTTTAAAACATTTTTTGGTATTTTACATTTTTTTTGTATTATTTTTTTGTGGTGTTAAATAAAAAAATGTTTTAATGGGTTTTGTTTGTGGTAAATTATTTTTTTTTGTTTTAATGTGTTGTGTTTGTGGTGATGAATATATATATATATATATATATATATATATATATATATATATATATATATATATATATATATATATATATATATATTCTTTAATTCATATTTGTTTTAATTTTTCATCTGATGTTCTTTGTTGTTTGTTTTTAATATCTATTATGATTTAATTAATTTTTTCCTTTGATGTTTTTGTTATTATTTACATCTTATTACTTATACATTTCTTATCTGTTTTATTTATTTACGTTTAACGAATGCAATTCTCACGTAATTACTTAGAAAAAGAAGAAAGAGATGAGAGGAAGGGATGGAAATGAAAGTTAAATTGAAAATCTTTTGAATTTTGATTATTCGTCAGATAATGTTCTCATGGGGGGTGGGGGGTGGGGGGGTGTAGAGGGGTCAGTGAGTGCGTTTTGGTTTTTGATATTCTGATTTTCAAAAAATATGATTTATTAAAGAAAGGAAGGAAAGGGGGAAGGAAGGGAGGGAAGGAGGGGGGAAGGGAGGAAGGGGGGAAGGAAGGGAGGAATAAAGGAAGGGAGGAAGAGGAAACAGGAGGTTGGATCGTTTTTATATTTCGTTATTTTGACGAAAAATATTCTAGTTCATGTAATATATATATATATGTATATATATATATATATATATATATATATATATATATATATATATATATATATATATATATATATATATATATAGAGAGAGAGAGAGAGAGAGAGAGAGAGAGAGAGAGAGAGAGAGAGAGAGAGAGATATATATGTATAAGAGAGAGAGAGGCTGATATATAGTTATACACATACATAATATATATATGTATATACAGTATCCACAAACACACACACAAACACTACACAATTCCAGAGTGCGCGCGTGCATGTAAGAGCCTCCAGACCGCTTCGCTCGCACGTAATTTTAGCAACATGCAAGGATAAAATGGCTTTGTATAAATCATCTTGCAAAGCGAGACCGAGCAAAGGGACCTCAGCGCCCCTGTTCACGCATTTCGGACGTGTCAAATCTCTTCAGTTTCTCGTTCTGGTTTTAATCAAAGAGGAATGGGAAAGGAATATGAAACTTTTTGGTGACTGAACGTAAGAAAGAGAGAAAGATTTTTTTTTTGTTTATCTTGACGTATTTTTTAATTTATCTATTTATTTATTTGTTTATTTATTTTTATATCTTCTTCCACTCTTGATTGGAAGCTTAATGTGATATTACTTGCGTTAACAAAAAGATGATTATCGAATACTCTCATCGCTTTTAAATTTGTATCTATTTGCTCCTCGGGAGAGAAATTAATATTTGATTTAAACAAACAATCAAGGACTAATGGTTATCAATTCGTCAAGTTCTGTTACTGTATCCCTCCCTCCATCTTCCCCCTTCCTCCCTCCCCCTCCCCCCTTCCTCTTGCCCCTCCCCCTTCCCTCTTTCTTTTCTCCCCTCCTCGCCTCCCCAACCCTTCCCCTCCTCCTTCCACCTCAGGCCTCCCCCTCCCCCCTTCCTCTTGCCCCTCCTCCTTTCCTCTTTCTTTTCTCCCCTTCTCGCCTTCCCCTCCCCTCCCTTCTCCCCTCTCGCCTCTCCTTTCTCCTTTCCCTCCTCCCCCTTCCCCTTCCCACCTCCCCCTCCCCTTTCCCACCTCCTCCTCCCGCCTCCCCCTTCCCCCCTCTCACTTCTCTTCTCCTTTCCCTCCTCCCCTTCCCCCATCCAGCCTCTCCCCTTTCCCCCTTCCCCCCTCCCCTTTCCCTCGCCCACCTCCCCCCTCTCACCTCCCCCTCCCCTCTCCCCTTCCCCCTTCCTATTCTTCAATAATAACAACGACCATCAATCAGCCTTCCAATGCGTATCTCTCTTCCTATTCATGTTCTTTAAATGAATGGCTCGTATTTTGAAAGCTGATCGCTGTTATAACTAGAGAACAGAGAACAGAGAACAGCGCCATAACACAATGGAAGGCCAGAAATTTGCCATTGTTTTCGAATCTCGACTAATCCTGTGAATCCATAACGATTCACAGGCTTTTCAGAAACGATGTGACTGTGTGTGTGTGTGTGTGTGTGTGTGTGTGTGTGTGTGTGTGTGTGTGTGTGTGTGTGTGTGTGTGTGTGTGTGCGTGTGTGTGTGTGTGTGTGTATGTGTGTGTGTGTGTGTGCGTGTGTGTGTGTGTGTGTGTGTGTGTGTGTGTGTATGTGTGTGTGTGTGTGTGTGTGTGTGTATGTGTGTGTGTGTGTGTGTGTGTGTGTGTGTGTGTGTGTGTGTGTGTGTGTGTGTGTGTGTGTGTGTGTGTGTGTGTGTGTTTTATGTGTGTGTGTGTGTTTGTTTGTTTTTTGTTTGTGAGTGTGTCTGTTTATTTGTTTTGTTTGTGTGTGTGTATGTGTGCGTTTGTATGTGTGTATGTGTGTGTGTGTATGCATTATATCTACCTATCTAGATACATATATTTGTATATCTACCTACCGATACTTTAACATTTTTACTTATTTCTCCCCTCCCGTCCTTCTTTCTTTCTATCTATCTTTATCAATATTTTCTCTTTGTCTGTCTATCTGCCCAGTTATCTATAAGTCTTTCTTCAATCCAAATGCTTCTGAAAAGAGTATTAATTTGTGTAAAGCTAGGTACAAGAAGGCCATTGGGAAAGGAGAGACAGAGAGTGAGAGAGAGAGAGAGAGAGAGAGAGAGAGAGAGAGAGAGAGAGAGAGAGAGAGAGAGAGAGAGAGAGAGAGAGAGAGAGAGAGAGAGAGAGAGAGAGAGAGAGAGAGAGATGAGATAAGAAATACAGACGAGCAAAGATGAAAAAAGGAAACAAAAGCAGAAGAGGAGAGAAAATACGAGAAAAAATAATAAAAGAAGACAGAAAAATATAAAAAGAAAGAGAGGACGAAAGAAAGACATGACAGAAAATGATAGAGAGAAAGAAAGAAAATTAAAATGAAAAAGAAAGGTGTATATGCCTGCACTCAAACAACATGACATAATCTACAAGCAATTAATTAATATTAATAAACCAAAAAAGAAAAAGAGAAAAACATAACATTACTTAATTCTCGTCCCTCATTTCTACCCTCAAACCAACGAACAAAAAACATAAACAACCCCCACCTCCAAAACCAACCAACCAACAAACAAAAAACACAAACAAACATAAGCAACCCCCACCTCCACCCCAAAACAAGCAAACAAAAACGCAAACAAACAAACATAAAGAACCCTCACCTCCACCCCAAAAGAAGCAAACAAACAAACAAACAAAACACAAACAAACATAAACAACAACCCCCTCCTCCACCCCAAAGCCAAACAAACAAAACAAAACAAAAAATAACAAAATCACTCAACATTCGCACCAACCAACCCCCCTCCTCTTCCTCCTCCCCCCCCAAAAAAAACCCCAACCTCCTTAAAAAAAAAAAAAAAAAAAAACGAAATAAAATGGAAAAAAGGAAGAAAAAAACCCCTCCTATGTTGCACCTCATGTTCAACATATCACAGCGGCGTGGGAAACAAACGAATCGCCCGCTGGCTTATCACTTGATGACTTCTGTTATCGCGTGAATATGTCAATAGGCTGCAGTGTGACGCTGACATGCCGGCTGATAGCGAGCCGAGGGGAGAGGCGAGGGGAGAGGCAGATGGAGGGGAGAGGGGAAGGGAGAGGGGAGAAGAGATTGGGTGAGGGGAGAGGGGAAGGGAGAGGGGAGAAGACGGGATTGGGTGAGGGGAGAGGGGGAGAGGGGGGGGGAGAGGCAGATGGAGGGGAGAGGGGAAGGGAGAGGGGAGAGGGGGAGAGGGGGGGAGGGGGAGAGGCAGATGGAGGGGAGAGGGGAAGGGAGAGGGGAGAGGGGGGATTGGGTGAGGGGAGAGGCGGAGAGGGGAGAGGAGAAGGGAGAGGGGAGAAGAGATTGGGTGAGGGGAGAGGGGAAGGGAGAGGGGGAGAGGCAGAGGGGGAGGGGAAGGAAGAGGGGAGAAGAGATTGGGTGAGGGGAGAGGCGAGGGGGGGGGGCAGATGGAGGGGTGAGGGGAAGGAAGAGGGGAGAAGAGATTGGGTGAGGGGAGAAGGAAGGGAGAGGGGAGAGGCAGATGGAGGGGAGAGGGGAAGGGGAAAGGGAGAGGGGAGAAAAGATTGGGTGAGGGGAGAGGCGAGGGGGAGGGAGATGGAGGGGAGAGGGGAAGGGGGAAGGGAGAGGGGAGAAGAGATTGGGTGATGGGAGAGGGGGAGATTGGGTAAGGGGAGAGGCGGAGAGGGGGGAGGGGGAGATTGGGAAGGGGAGAGGGGAGAAGGGAGAGGATGGGAGAGGGAAGGGAAAAGACAGATGGGGGAGAGAGGGAAGAGGTGGGGATTGGGAGAGGAGAGGGGAGAGAGACAGTGAGGGGAGATGACTAGATAGAGGGAAGAGATTGAGAGAGGAGAGGGGAGAGGGAACAGGCGGAAACTGGGAGAGGAGACAGAGATTGTGAGAGGGGAGACAGACAAATGAAGGGGAGAGGGCAGAGGCGGAGAGAGGGAGGGGAGAGACAGAAAGGAGAGGGGAAAAGAGGAAAGGGGAGAGGACAAGAGTGGTGAGAGGGATGAAGCGGAGAGGGGAGAGACGAAAAAGAGGGAGAAAGAGGGAAAAAACTGAGAGACAGAGATGGGGAAAAGAAAAAACCGAAGAAGGTTGAGACGAAGAGGAAAGAGGAAAGGAAAGAGGAAAAGGAAGAAGCAGAAAGTGAAAAGAAAAGAAATTCTAAGAGAGAAAAAATGGGAGACAGTTGGCAACGAACTGTAATAATAAGGAAAGGATAAGAGGCAGAGAAAGTAATGAAGAGATAATATGAGAGAAAAAGAGAGAGAAAAA